CCGCCACAGTGGCGGGCGTGGTGCGACGGATGCCGGTGGCCATTTCCACAACCTCCATCGCCGGCGTGTCCCGAGGTTGTGGCGCAGCAGGGGCCGGCGCAACCAACCTCTGCAAATTTTTGACGATTTGATTTCGGAGGCCGTTGCAGTGCAATGTTTGTGGCTGGGACTGAATGAAATAGGTTTCCCTGAAGCTCGCACAGCGCAAAGCACCTTGGCAGCCAAAACCCTTACTGGCGGGAACGCGTCGATACTAGGCCGTCACTCTCCTGCTAGCGGGGCCTACGTAGCGCCCCAACCCCTCACCCCCACCCGTGCGGCCAGGCGCCGCCCCCGCAGGTCCCCATGGCGTGCCAGGCGCGGCTGCCGCCGGGCAGGGACCCTCCGAAAATTGAATTTTGCGATTTGTAGTTCCCATTCAAGCCATCAGGCGCATCCTCTCACGCTTCAGCCTTGAAAAAGCACCCCACGCCCCCCGTAACCAACCCACGATTTCCAACACCCAAACCCGCGTCCGGCAGACAGGCGGCCGTGGCCCGCCGCCACTGCGGCATGCGCCGCTGCCCCGGTGTTGTTGACCATTTGACCAGGTTGACCGTTCCGACATCCCCAGGCAGCGACTGTGCGCGCAACACCCACAGAAGGGGTACTCAATCCTGTTGAGCTGTACAATCACACACACATGTAAAACCCTGACTAGACACCGGGATGGCATGGGACCCCTTTGGAGCTGCTGCAATCTGCTCAACGCCATCCAGCCACAAGGCAGCAACCCAAGCGCCAGCCCAGTCCGCTCGGCAGCCATCCAGGCAAAGGCAGCAGCGCAGGCGCCAGCCCAGCCTGCACCGGCGACGCGACACCGCACGCCTTGCCTGTATGTTTCATCGCACGCACTTACATATGAAAAGCAAATCGCGGTGAGCGGGCGGGGCGATGCGTGGCCTGTGTCCTGGCAATCAACTGCAAGCGAAATCTACAGCAGACACTGCCGAGCCGCGGCCCCAAACACGGAGCGGCGTCGGGGTACGGCCTCACTCACATCCCTGGCGGCCGCTGCATCTGCTGCCGCTGCTGCTGCATCTGCTGCTGTTGCTGCAGCATCATCATTGCCTGCTGCTGCTGCAGTGCCGCCTGCAGCGCCGCTTGGCCGCCTGCCCCGTCCATGCCTGGCCCTGCGGCCTGCTGCTGCTGCTGTTGCTGCTGCTGTTGCTGCTGCTGCTGCTGCTGCTGCTGCATCATGAGCATCTGCTGCTGCAGCTGCTGCTGCTGCAACTGCTGCTGCTGCAGCTGCTGCTGCTGCGCCGCCGGCATGCTCGCCCCGGCCGCCGCGGCCGCCGCCCGCTGCTGCTCCAGCCGCTTGGTCGCGAGGTGTTTAAGCACAGCCTCCTCCACCCAGCCCGCGCTGAACGCGTCGCTGCGGCGCGGCGTCTCGAACACCTGGCGGCCCCCCACCACCGCGCCCGCGCCGGTCGCGGCGCGCAGGTCTCGGGCCTGTTTTCGCGGCGACGGGTCGCGGGGGTGGACGTGTCCGGGGTTTGAGTGTGTTTTTGGGTGGCTGTGCAGGGGGGCATATTGTGATAAATGTGTGGCTGGAACTTGTTTGGCCGTGGCCAAATTGCAGGCTATCAAAGGCGGGGAAGTGCACCACAAGAGGACGGCCCGGGCTCTTAGATGAGGCTGTAGGGCTGCCTTGCATACCGAGTTGCGCAGGCGTGCACATGCGCACGTGCACATGGGCACGTATTCACACACACATGCCAAAAGTCACGCACATGCGCCGCACGAGCGCTGCAGTGACCCACCCTCACAACCCCCCCCCCC